GAGCTTTTCTCGCCCCGGAAGACGGAAGCGGCGGGACGCGAGAAAAGCTGCTCCCCGTCTCCCTGGTCTGCTGGTCAGACCAGGGAGACGGGGAGCAAAGCCGCGGAGGACGCCCGCAGCGGAACAGCCCAGGCGTGCCGGGGACCAGCAGACCAGCAGTTGAATCAGGACTGAATCAGGACTCCTGGGGCAGAGCAGCTGGGGTGCTGCCAGTTGGTCCAGTAGCGCCGAGGAGCGGCGCTGCGGGACCAACCCAGCAGCGCCCCAGCTGCTCTACCCCAGGCGTCGTGGGCAGAAAAGCCTGGTCTGCTCGGGGGGAGGGGGCAAGGGGTCACTGGAGGCCAAGGTCAGCCCCCAGAGCCTCACCCCTCCCCAGATAGTCTGCAGATCGTGGAGGGCAACTTTGGGGAGGCCTGCTGGCAGGGGAGTGAAGGAGTCACTGCCAGAGCATCACCACCTTCACCACTATGGGCAGCCCCAGTAAGTCCTCCTCACATCCCAGCCCCCTGTTCTGAGTCCTGCACCTCCTACTTGCCTTGACTTATGCACCCTCTCCCCCTACCCTGAGCCCCCCATCCCCTGCCTTGAGCTCCCCCAAATCCTGTGCCCTAAGCCACCACCCCACCTCACCCCCAAACTCTCACTCCAGCCTTCATTTTAAAAAAATACATTCGTTGACATAAAAGCGTGTACATTTTTCATTTCTTTTTCCAAAAAAAATTTTTTTTTTAATTACTTTGGTTAAAAACCCAAGCAATGCCTAGTTCATCTGCTAGTAGTTCATAAATAACTGAATTTCCTTGATATTTCCAAGTAATATTTACACTAATAAGAACCATCCAAGAAATCACTGGACTCAGACAACCATTACTCATGTTGAATAGTACGTTGCTCCTCAAGCAAAACTAATGATCTCATGATTTCAATTACCATTATTTCAATGTGTGTATTCCAGAAGAAGAGTTTTACTCAGTATGAGTAAGCATAAACATAGTGAAATCCTGACCCTATCAAATGAATTATCAAAACTCCCATTGATTTCACTAAAGCCAGGACTTCACCCATAAGTTAAAAGAATTTGAAAACTCACAGATTCAGCCGCTGTTGAAACTGATCAGTTTCAGCAGCGGCTGAATCTGGACGCCAGTTCCGACTTACATACAGATTCAACTTAAGAACAAACCTACAGTCCCTATCTTGTACGTAACCCGGGGACTGCCTGTAGTATAGTTGACTAACCGATTAAATACTAAGTGTATTAGTTAATGCTGTAGACTACATATTTTTCTTTCACCCTCCCTCTCCGCCCCACCTTGCCAGTAAATTTTTTAGTAGGCTGGCAAGCAGCCCAGCTCAGTCCTCAGATTCAACTTAAGAACAAACCTACAGTCCCTATCTTGTACGTAACCCGGGGACTGCCTGTAGTATAGTTGACTAACCGATTAAATACTAAGTGTATTAGTTAATGCTGTAGACTACATATTTTTCTTTCACCCTCCCTCTCCGCCCCACCTTGCCAGTAAATTTTTTAGTAGGCTGGCAAGCAGCCCAGCTCAGTCCTGACTTGAGCCGGGTCCGGGACCTACACCACTACGGCTCTTCATTTAAAGTGTATTAGGAGCTGGCCAGGCAGGCAGCACATCTGAGTTCCAGCTCACACAAGTCCAGGAGCTCAGACCCCGACCCTGGACAGGGGCTGTTGCCATCCTATGCTGCTGCCTCTATATCAGAGGTAGCAGCGTGGGGCAAAAGGCAGCCAGTCTGCAAGAGGAGATCATTTTTAAACTGGTTCCCCTCTCAGACCAACCCCTACCTGGCATCCCATGCTGCTGCCTCTAAAGGTACATCTACACTACAACACTATTCCAAAATAATTTAGTCCCCGTCTACACAGCAGGCAGTTATTTCAAAATAGTGTGAAAATACTGTCCAATTGAAGGACAGTCTTACACTGACTCATTGTACAAGGAATAAGGGAAGTCAGAGGAAGAGTGTTCTATTTCGAAATAAGTGCTGTGTAGACACTCCCTATTTTGAAATAAGTTATTTCAAACTAAAATACACAATTGACATAGCCTAATTTACATAGCTTATTTCGAGTTAAACTCTGCAGTGTAGACACACCCTAAGAGAGGCAACAGCACGGAGTGGCAGAGGGCCCCTCAGGAGTGGGGCTGGAGGGCACTGGCTGCCATCCCTGCCCTTGGGGACTATAGAATAGTCAAGTAACTGATAAGAATTCATTAGGTTAATTGACTATTCAATTAACTGATATTTAACATCTCTAACTTTGACTACTGTATTCTAAATTTTAGTGTTCTGTATAGAACACTGAAGATTTTTCAAGTATTTCTAGTTATGAACATTTTTTTTTGTAACTTGAAGACCAGCCCTGAGAAAAGAAATTCCTTCCAGCTTTCTTTGTAGATGTTTTTCATCTTTGTCTCCATTAAGACTCTCATAAATTGGCAGGAACAGGAGGGTGCCTGGTAACTTGGGAAAATAGAGCAATATTCCTGCCCTGCTTGAAATTTACAAACTGTCAAACTGCTAAGCCTCAATATATTTTATTCTGCTATGTGGGGAAAAAAATCTTCTAAATGTTGGGGTGATGGACGTGCTGGTTTTATTCAAGCAACAAAACACTGTGAATAGCTTCTCCACACCTCCCCTTTAATTACTTTCATAATTTAAACTGTAGGAAGTCAAGGATCATACCATTTTGAAGTTACTACAGAAAAAGAAAAAGAAATAGAAATGGCCACAGCATATATTTTTGCAGTTAGAAGCAATATTCCAAAAGCTCCAAGGCCATCAACTTTGCCTGGCAAGGATTCTTTTGTCATTGCAAGGAATTTTTGTTTAACACCCACCACAATGTTATTTCTGAAGGGCTTTAATAAAAAATCTGTTCTCACTCAAGCAATAATTGCTAGAGTGGATCCAAAATTAGGCCGGCTATTCTCACAAATGGATTATTCAGAGGCATAAGAGGTAGTGGTGATTAGAGTGTGGTATGGATAGAGTTAGAATCCTATAATCCATAATCATGTATCATATTCCTTAGACAATTCTAAAGAAAACAGAACTCTATAATTAAAGACGAAGTCTAAAACATAAACCTCATTCTCTCACACTCAAAGTATTATAATCCTGGCTCTGATGACCAACAAAGAGGAGAAGGACCCTGCTTTTTTACAGCTAATGTGGGTGAAAACATTGCATATATAAAGCACATAGTTTTCCTGTGATAGAAATCTGTGTCTCTACCTGCATTTAATGCTTAGCACAAAAATGGGTGTTTTGAATTGTAGTACATTGCATTAGCAATAGACCACCTGCTAGGAAAATCCAGAGGAGAATTCATTTTTCCATTGGGAAAACAAGCAGAAATTAATTCAAGAAACTGGAGTGAGGCAAAAACAATATAATAAATTTTCGTTTTCACATAACACATATAACACGATAAATGGGAAGATAAAGGGATTGTATTATAGTTCTAGCTACCTTTTCAGCAACATATGACCCCATTTGAAAAATATCCAATCAAACCAAAAACTGCATGAGTGTCCAAAATTCACCCCTGCACGAAAATATAAGAAAAATATGCTGGTATAACACTTTTTGGGGAGTAAATCAGCAGAATGATGGCTCGACTGGAAGAAAAAAAAAAGGCCATGGCAGATTCTGTTTCAGACTTTCCTATAGCTGTATAAGGATGAGTAGCTCCATATTTAAAATACTTAGTGAGTCTATTAAAGTTACTGAATCTTTTTTGTTTTGTTTATTTATTGGTATAATCATTTTCTCTTCATGGACCACTAAGTTTCACATTTAGTTCTTTCTAGAATGGCAATACCATTGTTGTTTTCTCTGAAAATATAACCAGATGAATAGATTCCTCTCAAGAGAGGTAGGTGCATAACTGGTTGGAAAACTGTTCCCAGAGAGTGGTTATCAATGGTTCACAGTCATGCTGGAAGGGCATAATGAGTGAGGTCCCATAGGGATCAGTTCTGGGTCCAAATCTGTTCAATATCTTCATCAATGATTTAGAGAGTACATTTACAAAGTTTGCAGATGAGTAAATGCTTTGGATTATAATTCAAAATTATGTAGACAAACTGGAGAAACAGTCTGAAATAAACTTCCTAGCTGTAAGAGTAGTTAAGCACTGGAATAAATTACCTAGGGAGGTTGTTGAATCTCCATCCCTGGAAGATTTTAGGAGCAGATTAGACAAACACCTGTCTGGGATGGTCTATATAATACTTAGTGAATGCAGGGGCATGAATGCCATGAATGCAGCGGCTAAACTAGATGATCTCTCAAGATTCCTTCCAATACTCTGATTCAAATATAAACATTCCAAATTATTATTTTTGTCAAATTCTGAGATTCATCTTTCACTTTTGGATGTCAAGAGGATGGAACACATGGCATTGAGGATATTGCATTGTTGACTGTTTTTATGATTTTTTTCTCGATGTAGTGCTCTCAGATTTGATCTGATCCTCTGTTTAAACATTAAGAAAAACAGGAGGAGGTAAGATAAAACACAGGAGGAAGTAAGATAAAAAGGTGATTTAACATTGCATGAGGGGTTTTAACATATCTGGGAGTTATATTATCTGTTCATTTGGAGCTTGGTTCTGCAAGATGTCAAGTATCTCTACCACAAAAACCTGGCAGGATTGGATTCATACAGTCTCTTTCAAGAATTAATACCATTTCCCAATTAAACAGTTCACATCTTCTATGATTTCACATTTTCACACTAAGTAAATTGAGAAAGGTTGTCTTCTATGTACTTTGAAATGCTCAATGTAATGATTTTGAGGGACAAATTTCATGGTTTCTGAAAAAATTGGTATTGACAATCTGATGATAAAATTTAATATCAGATTACTGGACTTCATTAACCCCATGGTGGCAAATGAGGATTATTTTAGGATTATATTAGGGCATGCGTATACACCCACCTGTCTCAATAGGCATACCTGAATATTCTGAATCCTGCTGAGGCCTCCACACACAGCAGGCTCAGAAACAGAGTGTGCCCTAACTTCAAAACCAGGCTTGGATTAACCAATGCGCACAGGGTCCCCATCTCAGGAGCAGCCCTTGATCACTGGAAAACAAAACACAACAGACCAATGCTACAACCCTGCATGCCACACAACTGTGAAAGTCCTGGGTGGGCAATGAACAGAACAGGCAGCTAGGATCAGGAGGATTCACCCTAACCCAGGAGCAAAGTATTGAGTGGAGGGTGGTTCCGGTGAGTCACCAGGAAGCTGCAGAGAGTCACAGGTGATGGGCTAAAAGCGAGGTGTCAGTGCGTATGGGGGGGCTGGAAAATATGGGGGGCAAATGGAGGATGTTTGGGTAACGCATGTCATCAGATGTTGGTGGATAGTGAAATTGGTAGGCAGGATGTTGGAGGCTGTGGTTGTAGTGAGCAAGATGTACAGTAAGAATGCTGGGTTGTGTATATGGGATAAGTATTAGGAGCTAGTGGAAGGCTTCTGGGTTATATGTGTGGTGGGTTATATTTGAAATAGGGATACTTTAAAGGTAGGGGGAGTCCCAATTTCCATAAGGCACAGGACCCCAAAATTCTTTGATCTAAGACCCACATTTGGTGGGGCAACTACTTTGCTGTCATCTCTTACCAGTTCTGTCATGAACAGGAGGAATGCTGACCAGCACCTGGTGACCAAGGGGTTAACTCAGGTAGCTAGCAAAGCTGCTGGCAAAGAGCCAGAGAATCAATGGGCATACAGTGTTGAAATCTGAATTGGATATAAGTTCCCCGCCTGCTTTCTTTGTGTGGCAGAGATAAACCAGGAGTTGAGAGACACAGAATGATTTAAAACCAGGCAGGACTACCATGCCCCATGGAATTCAGGTCATGGGAATGGACTGAACAAAGAGAAAATCAGAAATAAGTAACAGGGAAATGTGAATCCAGTTGCGTTAAGGGTAATTTTTCTTTATTTTTTTGGTTTGGTTTGAACTGCTCTGTGTGATTCTGTGCCTTCCCTCCCCCTTTACCATCTAAGCATTGCACTGGAGGTATTTTTTTAAATCTGTTTTAATTTGTTTTCCTTAGTTGCTCTGTAACATCTAGCAACCAAGCATGCTTTATCAATTTTATCTTTTGTTTTGTAATAAAAATCACTTATTTTAAGGTGATGATTTCATTCTTGTGTCTGTGTGGATCTGCAGGCCTCTGACTGAGGGGGTCAGCTACCAAATACTGCAGCTTGTTTTTCTCTTTTATTTTTCAAGCTCCTTTGGGTCAAAAGAACTTGGAGCACCCCTGGGGGGTGATTTCAGGTGTTCACCCCTGGGTTTTTAGGGATCAAAAACACTTGATGGTGGCAGCAAATTCCCCAAAATCTGTGTGGTGATCCTGGGAGTGGGGAGAGGGAGGAGAGTTTTGGTTTCTAGTGCTTGTAGAGGCAAAGGGGTTTTGTTTTCTTTTGAGCTCTTTGCGGGCCCCCATCTTCTGCACTCTGAGGCCGTGTCTGGATTTCAGCACTTTTTTGATAAAGGGATGTAAATTAGGTACATCAATATTGCAAATGAAGCTGGGATTTGAATTTCCTGCATTTCATTTGCATAGTGGCAGGGGCCCCTTTTTTTTTGGTCAGTGAATGAAACGTGAAGTCTTTCAGCACTTTCCACAGGACAGACAGAGAAGAAGTAGACCTCCTGGCTCTGATAGCTCTGAATACATCCAGTGCCTAGGAATGGACTGTGCTGCTTATTCAGTTGGTGTTGTACTTTGCCTGTATTTGTTTGTCAAAGTGAATGTCTGTCCATCCACTGGGATATCTGTTTGATAGGACTGTCCCTTTGGGTGAATATGAGTTCTATTCAGCTAGTCAGCTTTGGATGTGAAGTGGTCTCCAAGACCTGCTGAGATTTTTTTCAGACCAAACACAACAGAAGAGAGGCTTCTTTCAGATAGGACTTACTGCTTTTGATGACCTCCCACCAACCAGTTGGTGTACGTCTACAGAGCTGCGTTATTTCGGAATAACTGACATTATTTTGAAATAACAAAATGCATGTTTACACAGCAAGTCATTATTTTGAAATACTGTTGAGATGGAGGACTGCTTACTTTGACTCCTGTAACTTTCATTTCATGAGGATTAGGGGAAGTCAAAGGAAGAGTGTTCTTCCTTCAACTTCTGGTTGTGTGAACAGCGCCAAAAGCCGAATTAAGCTATTTCGACTTCAGCTACACAATTGACATAGCTGAAGATACATATCATAATTCTACTTTTGCCCTGCAGTGTAGACATGCCTTTAATGTGCTACTTCTGGTGGACTGTTGGCTTTGATTTGAATCTGGAACTAGGGGTAAGCATGTTAGGTGGAAGATGCCTTCTCTTTGACTAAGACTGAAGACAATATGCACCCATTTTCTGCATGCATATCAGGCACTTTTCAGGAAAGCGCTATTTTAAAATGATTTAAAATGTGTCAATAAACCTATGTTGTACCAATCTCACAAGAAAATGAAAACATAATGCATCAGTTATTCACAAGAGGCCCAAATGCTCTCATACTAGTGTATGGGCAAGGAACTTCCTCAGCACTCAAGGGATTTGAATTTTCCCCTGTATGTCCACTTGACAATTGCCTACTTCCACTCACACAGTAGCTTTATTCTGATGCACAAGATCCCTTCCACAGTCACAGAAACCTAAGATGCCAGTTCCAGTAGAGTATGTGAGTAACTTTAAACATGTGAATAATCCCACTGAAGTCCAGAAAACTGAACAAAAGCCTTAAAGTTATGAATGTGCTTACATTCCTTGCTGAACTGGTTCCTTTGTGAATTTCACCCTAAGTTATGAAAATAATTAGCACAATTAGAAGTTAATATATTCAATTTAATACTTTAAATATAGAACAGAATTCACTAAGCCATCAGTAAAAGAATGGTACAGTATTTTTTTAGTCTAACAGTGTCTCAGAAGCATGATGGTTCAGTAATATATTTAGTTTATCAATTCCAATTAAGTTATTATAAGAAAGAAAGAAATTTGAACTTACTGATCTGTCTGCATAAGCTCTAGGGAAACCAGTTCAAGTCCGTCATAATTGTTTTAATAGGTTCAATTTCAGAATATCTATTTATACCAAGCCTAACAGCTTTCCTTTGTACAGTCTCTAATTTATTAATTAGCATCAACTTCACAGGTTCCCAAATGGAAAGATTGTTTTATTATGAAATGAGAGATTAAAATGCCTGATTTTAACTATTTTATAACCAATTTTACAATCTTATTTTAACTCGGTTGAGAGTTGTTCTAGGAATGCTAATGCTGACTATTCTAAACCAGCTATCAGAAGGATCAAACATTTATGGTCCCAGTCTTCTCTATTTAAACCTTTTAGTATTTCCCTTTGTCTAATTAATCTGACTGTGACTGATATTCAGGAATCTTCTGTGGCTTAGTATGAAGCTTAGAAATGCTAGCATAGAGTCACAGAAAAACAATTACTAAAACTCATGGACACATGTAAAAGTTGCAGAGTCAATCAATGTTAGGATGGACTTATGTCAGGGCTTCATGTGATGGCATTGTAACTTGCCTTCGCTCTAAATATACTGATTAATTTAGGACATATTGAAAGGGTTTTTGTGTAGTGTTTTGTGTAGTGGCCCTGTTTCTAACCTTCAAACCAGTTCTCCCACCTTGCTTGCACAGACATTTAGTCTCTCTCTAAATTCAATTAAAATTATGCTCCACTTCCATTAAGACAATCTAGTTTTTTGAAAAAAAAAAACCAGAGACAAAAATTTGCAAGTAGAAAACACTTTAAAATTTCAGTAAATGCAACTTGGAGTTAAGCAAATAAAATGCCAGAAAATACATCTTTTCTATTTATTGCCACTAGTGTGTCTTCTGTGATATGGAGCAAATATTGCAGAGCATCTCTGTTTAGGTATCCTCACTATTATATTTTCATTCCTGTAACTAGACCTTTTCTGCTTTAAGAAATGAAGGGAGCAGAAAAGAGCCATGTTCATCTTATACTTGGGTTCTTAAACTGTCTTCTTATCGAACCATTGTATTTTATTTTTGAATTTCTGCTTATTGGTTATCAGACAGTCATACATTGTATTGTTCTTGAAAAAATGAATGAGGACAAACACTATATTTCGTACAAATACATTATTATCAGCTGTGAACTATATATTTGCTCGCTAAAGTGAGACAAAAACAGATCCTACAAATTAGTGAAAATAGCACTTGTTTATCTGCATTACTAAAAATCTAAAAACATATTTTTTCCTTAAAAATCAATTGTAGATTTGATTTTAGTGCTGCATCAGAAAGAAAAAATTCAAAGCCTTTTTCCCCTGCAAAATGTCATTATTGTATTTTTGGCTAGCCCTAGTTCTAACCTTCTGAAACATTTTTCCCATTTCAGACTGTTAAGAGGGAAAAGTTCATACACTTTCCCTTTAGTACCAATTCCTAGCTACTACAGACACATGCACACTAAAGCTTCCTTGATCTCGGGCCTCCCATGCCTACTATCTCTGAAGAAGGTTCAGGAAGCAGGTTTCTTGGAGGTCAAATGCTTGTTCCTGGTCATGTCTGTGACTACAGCTTTTAGTTTCAAAGACCCCAAAGAGCTGTAGCCAGCAAATAGAGAACTAAACTTATTCATGATCAGAGCCTTTTATTCAGTGACAAAAACCACAAGAAAATTGCAAAATAAATAATGCCAAACAAGTTTTGTAATAAGTTTCAGTCACTAAGCAAAAGTGAAATTCTGAGGGTTTTCTTTCTAAGTTATTTTGAATAGGTTCATAAGTACTTTTCAAATGTATTTTTGGAGGGCTTTTTATACTTCTATTCTACATACCTGCTCAAAGTTTTTTCTCATTGATAATATTGAATATGTGGTTCCACTTTGTTTCTTTGTTTACCTTCTTATTTGTGTGCTCAGCTTCTTGATAGAAAGCCCTTGTTATTGTTAGGTAGTGAAACTAAGAAATTGTTCTTGTCTTTACAGGTAAGTGTATCCATTAACAAGTGCTCTGAAAAAATGTATCACGTGTTCATCAAAAAAAAAGTAACTGTCAATTTGATG